GCCCAAACCTCATTTCATTTTTCCTTTGTGCAGTCCATTTTTCCTTTTTTTTAGAAAAGGAGGATGACCCCCGGCCTCTGCATCTGGGCGATGCATACGGCCACTTTATTAATTATTCTCACAAGACCTTACAAAGTAATACAACAGTAAGACTAAAGCCGCCGTCTAAGCACCTCTATCCAGCTGATGAAGGGGCGCAGATAGCCTGGGCCTAAAACCAAACAGACATCGCAGTCAAACCTAACATCTAAAGACCTGAGAACCCATCCAGGACGCCTGCCGGGCATGGGTCTCACCGGTCCGGCATGCACTCAGATGCCGCCGCCGCCAACTGCCACCGCTCCATCTTCAGAACTATACTGATGCATCAACCTTGCTCGGTCCAGCAATCGTCGACGCCACCACGGCGCCAAACGTCACCTCCTCCCTGCGCGCAAATAGCTGAGCACGTCGCGGTCGCCACTGATACACCTCAGCGCCATGCTGCCAGGTATCACCAGCCGACACAGCTTGAAGTCCTTGGAAGATCTGTCGTGCGTAGCACCTGCCGACCAGGCATGACAAAGCGTAGCACCTGTCGGTCAGGCATGACTTGACATCACCCCCGAAGCTCCGTGCAAGACGAAGCCGCTCCACCTCCTGCCTCTGACCTCCAGCGCTGCTCCGCAAACGATGCTCCCAAGAGAGAAACGACACTGCACTGCCGCCATCGTCCGATCTGGAACACCAGATCCTAGGGTTTCCCCCGGAGCAGCACGAGTGGGTCGACAATAGTTACACGACGATGCCTTCATCAAGGTAACGGCGAGAATGCCGCCATCGCCTGCCGTCGGCTCGGTTTTCACCGGCAACTATGTCTCCCCTACTCGCAGCCGGGACAAGATGATGGATCATGAGATCTGATCACCAAGCCTCTGGTCGGCCATCTCGGGAAGAAGATGACCACCACGTCCAGCAGTCTCACCACGCCGGGCACACGTTGCCGCCGGCACCCCCATGGTGCCTAAAGGCCGACAAGCCCCGACGAATCCCATGCCTCGCCAGCCGTCATGGCCCAGACCCCGGCACCACCAGATCCAGATCGGATCGGGGTCCAGGGCCCCAAGCCGCAACCGCCGCGGAGGCAGCACCACTGGACGGTGCCTAGCCCTCCAGCCCGCCGCCGAATCCTCGCCGGAGCTCCGCCGCGCCACGCCGC